AAAAAAAAAAAAAAAAAAAAAAAAAAATTTGGAGAGATGTCCTACAGGAGAAGAATGAAGAGAATTAAGGAATTCATGAAAGAAAGGAACGGGGGCCTGCACCTTATTATAGGGAAAGGGGGGAAGGACAAATTCATCCTAGTTCAAGAAGATAGAATAATTTACAAATCTTTTGCATTGGAATGAGTAGTCACTAATTACATAATTTTTGAGATTTCAAATTATGGTAACAAGAAGCTCTGCTCTTGAGATTTCAAGTTCAGATTCCTTCGCTAAAAAATTTTTGTTGTTAGGTCTCATCTATTAAAAGAACTCAAATCTTAACCGTTTAAATTAATGATAATAATTTTAGGCAAAGTCTTAGGTCTGGTAGTCATATAGTTTTATTAATATAATTTTTTTTTTTTACATGCATAACTTTTTTGGTATGTCTATATAACACTCAATATTACATGTGTTTATATTTATTGAATGTTATATTAAAACAAATTGATTGTTACACACGTATAAATGATGTCAACCGCATGTATAAATTATATTAACCATGCACACGAAAGAAGTTACACATCATGGTTCGAGTGTCGGATTTAAGATAATTCCAATAACTTTATAAGAAAATATTAATATCGGATAGCATGCGTGCATGTATGTATATGTTTAATACTTAATTGCCCTTGTCAACACAAAGCAAAATACATAGATGCTAGTACTTTTTATTTTATTTCACACATATAATTGCATATGCATAACATCACAATGGTAAATCACATGAAAACTACTTTGATATTTTGGCACACAATCATTCTATTTTTAGTAATTAGTGACGAGAGCTTCAGATTAGAATGCGGTGAAAATTTATACCCTATTATCAGTCGACACGTGGAATATCTCCTTAAACAGAAGGGTTTAGGCAGGGCTTATACTTTATTAAAACAAAGCCAATCTCAAATCTCCTCTCGTTTTCCTTTCCGAAATGTACTACTATAAGTTATAACTCTTGACATGTTTCAGAGACCTCGGTGATCCTAAAACCAGTTTTAACCATCTTAATTAATTTTTTGAATCAACGTCCTTGTTCATAGCCCTCCATTGAGCACTTCTAACATCCTTGGCTCTCTTCAACTTGTCAAGGTTTCTAAGCCTGGCAAACATCTTCCGAATATGGTTAAGCTTTTGAGACTCCTGAGCAATCAAAGCCACCGTTGAGCTGCTCTCGGTCAAAATGACCTCGTATCCATCTCGGAATGAGTCCATTCCTTGTGATAGGAGCTGCCAAAACAATCCGCCAACCGCCGAGCCTCCGGCACTAGCCGACGAGTATATGGCTGAGTACACTGTGTTGAAAACCTCGTCTCTTTGGTTGGCACCGGACTTGCCGAACTCGGCGAAGAGGACTGGCTTGTGAAGGACGTCTTGTGCATCTTGGATATGTTCTTGAAGCCAAGTCTTGAGGAATGCTTGCTGGCTCTCAGAACTTGAACTAGATAACCTACACATATATAATTGAGTGTTTATAAGTTCCATAATAAATCTGTGAATTCGAATCAAAGAATTATATAAAGTTTGTTCATATATTGGAGGTCCTGATTGTACAAATTATACTACTAGCTATGCGTCTCTAACCAGTCTAATGTCTAACGTCTTGATTTTGATACATTTTCAATATGATAAATGTATACAGAGACAATGTCGTAGCCGGGTAAGGATCTTATAATGACAAAATTTTTCATAATCATGATACAAGGAAAGCCCTTCAATAACAAAGTTTTCCATATGATTTTTTAATATCTAGTACTCATTTAAAATTTATCACTTTTTAAAATTTAAGGGAAAAAAACAAAATAGAATTAAGAAGAGGTAGCAGTCTCCCCTTTTTTTCTTCTTTTTTTTTTTTTTTTTTGGGTGTGTTACCATTGATCTGGGTAGGAGTGAACAGTAGCAAAATCGATGCCAGGAATCTGATTGTTAGCAATGAAATCGGTTCCAACTTGAAAGTTTGGATTAGTTTGCTGCTTTGATGCTCCATAGAACCCTTCAAGCCCAGCTTCTAGCAAGTGATTTCCATCTATTGATTTCACATAAGATGCCATCTCTGTAATCCATGCCTGTCACACCATACATTACCACGATATTAAAAATAAAAAATAATAAATAAATAAAAAACCCTGTTTCTACTATATGGAGAAAAAGATAAAAAGTCCTTGGACTTTTTACATACATCCACTAACCATGTTAGGCAACAGCCCCACATGAACTTGTGAGCCCGAAACTCTTTTTTTCTCACGTCTCATGATTGTGCTTGTGAGTTGTATCTCCAACTAAGCCTTACTACTTTAGCATAAATGCTTAGCACCGTAATTTTTTGTCCATCCAACATCAGTCAATATAATTATTATTTGGAAAAAAATCAGCTGTACTAAAAGACATTTGTGAATACAACTAAAAAATAAAAGTGTTACCATTTTTCGCATAACTAATTAGGTTAGGTTTTAAAGTAAACCTACCCATTGAAAAATTGGACTTCTTAACATTACATCACTTGAAAAAAAACAGAGGAAGAGAGAGAAAAGAAGGTTGTGGGAGAAGACTTTTAGTTGTTCAGACCTGAATGGTGTTTCCTGATGGATCTGACTGGCATCTTGGCTCATTCATAAGCCCCCAAGCCATTATGGCTGGCTCATCCTTGTAAGCAACTCCAGTCAGTGTGTTTGTTCTTGTAAGTACGGTCTACATATCACAAAAGAAGAGAGAAATTGTAAATTGATTGACCCTTGACAAAGACGCAATAATCATACTAATGGAGAATAAAAAAGAAGTGGGAGAAAGAGGGAAAAAAAATTGCAGGAAACTATTATATATTTGATGAAGGAGAGCAGAAATTTAATTGATCATGGAGTAATCTAAGCTATCAAAGAGGGAAAAGTTCTGCCTTTATGTGCCAAGTAGTTAACAACCACGCAAAGCAACACCCTTTTCTCATTACCAAAGAAATACAGTGTTTCCAAAAACAAAACAAAAAAAATACTAACCATTTTTTTTTCCTGTATATGGTCGGTCCAAGCACCATTTGACATTTGTCCAAAAATCATAATGATGATATAGATTATGACGATGTAAACATTGTATGTACAATTGAAGGGGGGAAAAAAAGCAAAACTGCTGAATCATATGAGAGAGAGAGAGAGAGAGAAAGAGAGTATTACTTTGATATGGTTTTTGTAAAATTGCTTCACAACAGGATTGGAGAAGAAATCATCATCAGATGATATGGACTGCCCTTGATTTCTTGCCCATTCCACATACTGTTTCTTGCCTCCAAAGTTCTCGTAATTATTCACAAAGCTCAACACCAGTTTAATCCCATATTTTCTTGCTTCAGACACCACAAAATCCAACCCCTTTTAACCAAAACAACCAAATTTCAGGACAACATTATAAAAAGAAAAAATAAATAATAAAAAGAAAAGATAAAAAACCAAGGCTAACCTGAAAGACTTTCTCGTTATAAGAGCCAGGTGAGTACTGCAAAGGCATGTATCCTCCGTCACTGAAAGCCCAAGTTCTTGCTATTGAAAGGCCATGGTTTTTAGCCTCTTGAAAAGCCGATGAAACTTTGTCTCTCTGTGACGGATCAGAGGCTATGTACATTAACCAATATGCATTGAACCCATTTGCGTAAAACGGGTATCCATTCAACACAAGTTGTACTCCTCTGGTCTTCACAAACCCATCTTCTGCAAAAACTTGGTGAAAACTTAGCAGAGAAAATAAAACGACACCCCATTGTTCCTTCTTCATTTTTATTTTTTTTTCCTTTTTTGGGTTGCCTCAACTTCTATTGGCCAAATGCAATATATGTTGGGAAAAAAAAAAGTAAAGGAAAGCAATTAAGAAATCTCTGCGCATCCTTATAGCGGTATAAATAGACATCTCTGCGCTATAATTACTTTCTTTCATGACTAACCGAAACACATTTAGGCCAAATTAAGTTGCAGCGGAATCTGTTGAAAATCCAAAAATGGCCTTGGTTATGTTATGGCAATGTAGTTAAAAAGTTGATGGTAATAATGTCTTTTGAAGTGGGGTGGCCCACATCACTACCGCATTATGATTCTCACCCACAATAACTTCTCTGACGCTGTTTAAACGTCAATGTAATTAGTACATTAATGCTAGTAAGAATGAAAAAAAACAAAAAATCATATTCTTGTTGAAAAAATTTTACCTTGTTTTCCACTAAATGTAGTTTGTTTTGTAGTGGAATGAAGTAATTTTAGCTTGTTGCAGAGAAAGCATGGGTGCCACTAGTTTGTTTTCCTTGAGTACTGAGAATCTCTCATTTAACTAGAAGGAGACATACCCATATGATTTTGAGCACAAATTATAACCATTTAACTAGAACTTCTAACCTTACACGTATCAGTTTTGCATGACACAAGTTTGGCCCTCTTTTTCGAAGTGATAGATACTTTCACGTGACAATGCCCAACCCTTGTGTTCCGTATTATATTTATTTATTCTGCAGATAATAAAAGAGGAACTTATTTATTTTAGAATGAGAGGATTTTGTTTGCCAAAAACTTACACTAAAACGACACAAATTAACAGGATTTCCACTTTAATAGAATTCCTTAATATGCGAGTCCATACTTCTCCTCTGATAGGTTAATTTTTCAATTTTGTGGTGTGATACAATGAGTGAAGTGAACGGCCGAAAGTTTGGAAAAAAAAAACCTTTATTCATAGAATTTGCCGCACATCACGGCGCTGTTTGCAATCAAAGTTTTTGGCATACTCAGTATTTATACGAAAAATAATAGTTAATGTCGAATGTGACATTATCTAATTTATCTCATAGCATGAGCATAATACATTTATTATCAAAATTGCTTATTTAATTCTTAGTATCCGAAAATGATATACAATCAATCACAGTTTATCATTTCATTTAATAATGAAAGTATTCAAGGATGAAAAATTCAATTAAAAAAGTACTTCAAATTCCTTAAATAAGTACATGGTATAAGAAATTTGGCTAGACGTCAAAATTAACACGTGATTCGAGAACAACATCACTAAGGTAATTTCCTTTCCTACTAGGTGCGACACCTTTAATGCAAAATCTATGAGAGAACGACGCGTGGTGGGAATCAAGTTGTGTATAGTTTGACTTAGTGGTGGAACTTTGGGCCCGCGGCAGGTCTGAGGCCCAAATTTTTCGGACTCGGCAGGCAGACCCATATACCGGCCCGTCCAAAGTTATAAATTCGGGCTCGGGCTCAGGCAGCCCGAATTTGGTCACCACGCCGGAGCTTGTCACCGTGTAGGCGCCATTAACTGCCATCCGCCGGAGTGTTTTTTTGAATTTTTCCGGCCAAGCCCGATTTGCCCGAACCGCCCGATTGCCCGAAAAAGGGTCAAAATTTTGACCATTGGTGCCCGACCCGAAAATAAGCCCAAAAACCTGAATTTTGTCTGAATGCTCGACATGCCTGAACTGCCCGAAAATCCGTCCAACGGCTAGTTTTTTGACCGTTGCCGCCCAAACCCGCCGAACCCGACCCGTCGAAACCCTAAAGTAGTCGTTGCATCCGGAAGAAGTGTAATTTCTCACTAATGAATTTGTTACGCAGGAATCTACTAATCCGAGCCCTAGTGGACGTATTGGAGGCCGTGGTCGCAATGGTGGTGGGCATGGAGAAGCGGCGAGTGCGACTGCGACTGCGTCTACAAGTGTTGCAACCTCTAGGAGGAAATGCAAGCACACATCGACAATTTGGGATCACTTCGACATAATTGAGGAGATCAACAATGAAGGTAACACTAAACATATAGCTCAGTGTAAATATTGTTTATCTAAATTATAAGGTGACACTATTCACGGTACCACATACTTGAAAAGACACTCTGAAAAGTGTCTTCAAAAACTTAGCCAATCAGGTGGATCTGAACTCCGCCAAACACAATTATCTTTTTATCTCGCAACCGGTGGTCTAACCACTTGGAAATATGATCTGTAAGTAGATCGTATGGAAGTTGTACGAATGATAGCTGCTTTAGATCAACCACTTAGTTTTGTAGAGCATCCTAATTGGCAACGATATATTAAGGTTGTATATAATCCTAATGCACAGATCACTTCAAAAATTACTCTTAGGAAAGATTTATTAAAATTATTTAAAAAAGAAAAATAAACATTAATAAACCTTTTACACTCGACTAGCGGGTGCGTTGCATTAACGGTAGATATTTAGTCTGCCGTTGCCAATAAAGATTATTTAGCTGTAACCGGGCATTACTTTAAAGGATTTGATTTAGATAAGAGAATATTAGGTTTTAAATGTGTTCTAGGATCACATAGCGTAGATTTAATATATATTACCATTTTAAATGTAATTGATGAATTTAGATTAAGAGATAAAATAATGGCTATAACATTAGATAATGCTAGTGCCAATACAAAAGTAATTGAGTTCTTTGAAAATGATTTAAGTTTATTCGGTGACGGTACAATTTTTCACCAACGTTATGGATGTCACGTAATTAATTTAATTGTTAAATCCGGTTTAAAAGAAATGGGTAATCACATTAAAAGAATTAGAGATAGTCTTGCATGGATTCAAGGTAGTAACCAAAGACAATAAGATTGGTTTAGGTTCTTACAAGCATTAAATATACCTCCTAGAGTATTAGCGTTAGATATGCCTATAAAATGGAACTCAACTTACATAATGCTTCAACAATGCATCCCCTATAAGGATGTTATACCAAACTATATGTGTGCAAAAGTAGGAGTAGGACATATAGACGCACATGATTGGCAAATTGCCGAAGTTTTGTACCAATTTTTAGGTAGGTTTCATGAAGTGACTCTAAAACGTAGTTGAACATATTACCCAACATCACCTTTAGCTTTAGGAGAACTTTTACGAATTAGTATTTTATTTAGCGAATATAGGGATGACCCAATCTTAGCAGTTCCTATCCATTCTATGGAAAAGAAATTTATAAAATATTGGTTTAAGTTCCATTTGTTGTATGGTTTAGGTATTATTTTTGATCCTAGATTAAAATTAGAAGGTTTAGAAAGTGGTTTAGAAAACTTAGGTGAATTTTTAGGCATCAATTGTCCGGACCAATATCCAATAATAAAGGAAAAAAATATATTCAATCTATAGTAAATATGAGATTAGGTTTAGAGTACCTCCTAGAGTACAGGAACCGCAACAACAAGACGAAAACCCGCATTCATTCTTGAATGTTTTCGGGTTGAAGAAGAAGAAGAAGACAACTCAAACAGAAGTTGAGAGTGAATCTTCATCAACAAGTGGCAGTGGCGGCGGTAGCTTCAACAAGCTTATGGCGTACCTCAGTGAAGGCTTAGTAGTCGACGGTATGGCAGAATTGTTTGACTTAGTTCAATGGTGGAGGGCACATGCATTAACTTGGCCAATCCTAACTCGATTGACAATGGATATATTTTCGATTCCAGTCTCCACTATTTCATCCGAGCAAGCCTTCAGTACGACCAGAAGAATACTTGAGGAACGCCGGAATGCATTGCAAAGGGATATTGTTGAAGCCTTGGTTATCATTAAGGATTGGGATCGAGCCGATCAACGTCTACAGGATACAATTTCACCGGCAAGTCAAAAATGGATCGATGAATTTAATTAATTAACATTTAATTTTGAAGACGATCCTTCAGCTTCAAATTAAATTGTAAATTTGTAATTTGTAAATATGTATTTACTTTTGACATTGTATTTGTAATTGTATAACTTTGTGAGTTTGTAAAATTTGTAATTCGACACAAAATGATTGCACTCTTTTTTTTCTTGCCAAGTTTTTATCCCAATTGGGTTTTTCTTGGTAAGGCTTTTAACGAGGTAATCATGAATTACAAATTTAATATGCATTATTAATATGCATGATTAATTTATTCAATTGTGTTAATAATGTCTGTTGAATGTTGATTTTGATTTTTATATAATTTTAACACAAACTAACTTAATAATTATAAAAATTAAAAAATATTAAAAAAATGGGCTATTCGGGCAGGCTCAGGCTGCGCGGCTGGGTTCAGCCAGCCAAATATAAGCCCGCGGCCCATTCAAGGGCATTTTCGGGCTCGGGCGGGCAGCCCGAATTTTTTTGACGGGTCAGGCTTGAGCTCGGGTAAAAACTCAATATTTTTGGACAGTCACAGACAGCCCGTCTAAAATTTCAACACTAGTTTGACTAATCTAACTTTAGAATCGACTTTGGAAGATCGTACGGTTAATGGACGTTGAGGGGGTGAGGCATGTATGATACGATGACGTTTCTGAAGGATCAGACATCGTAGTATATAAAGTATCTGAATGGAGACAAATCCCATATCCAAAGCCACGGCTAATTTGTCAACAACGCACATATTTATAATATTTATATATAATATAAAATGAAGAAAAGAATAAATTGGAAACGAAAGCCTCGAGCCAATAGAAATATGATGCGTGATTTTTGGTCACACGGTTTTGCTTCTTTTCTCATTATGTCACTGCTCAAGTTTTGTTTTCTTCGTTCGTACTTCGAGAAAAATTCTCTCCCTCTTCTTTCCACCCATTTTCTTGCCACACAAACTTTTATTTGTTAATTTCGTCGTTACCCATATTACTTTAGTATCTATTTTGATCTTAAGCTACCCGGTAAAGCTACATCAACACTTCAAAACGTGGAAAGGTGTTATTAATTTCTGGTTTACATTTCTTTCCCTCTCAAATAATTTTGTTAAAACTATCTCATAACAGCCTGATATTAAAATATCCAAATGTCATTAAGAAAAATTAAATTAAGTCATAAAAATCTAGAAGCCTGGTAGGTTTCCGTTACTGTACTCAAGATATGGCTAGAGAGTAATGTACATGTGAGAACCTGCCCTTGTTGGAACATGTCATAAATTTTGTAAGCAATGCACGTGAAATATCTTAAAATCTAGGAGTTCCATCTGCTTTTGGCTCCCCTTCAACAATATGCATGTTTAAAGGGAGAAAAAATATGTAAACAAATTTTTACTTTAAAAAAAAAAAAAAGATAATAAAGAAATTATTGAAACTCACCGACGCTATTTATGAGGCTCCAAATGTGGAGTGGAGGCAAGAATTGGGCATTCCCTTGATGTTTGGTCTAGATCAAGGACCCATAAGAACAATCATATTTTGTGTTTATGTCAATTTGTTTATTAATCATTTTAAAAAATATTAATCTAAACACGACATGTTTATTAAACGTGACAAAAATGTCAACCCAAACTCGACTCATTTATTAATCGTGTTAATCGTGTCAACCCGTATAACCAGTTCAAATTAATATATTGAATAAATAATTAATATAATAATGACTTATTTAACACAGTCAAGACAGGTTTAACATGTTTATTGGTCAATTTATCTTTTTCTTTAAGAAAAATAGATGAATTTTGCCTACAAATATTAAAATTCACATTATTTGTTTCATGTTATATCACATATCATTAGATTGCAGATGACACATATAGTTAATCATATCAATTCACGTCACTTTGTGTTAAGAGGCCAATCCTAACCCAACTTATTTATTAATCGTGTTAATCGTGCCAACTCTATTATGATCAAAACCTATTTATAGTAAATTCAAACCCGTTAATTTCGTGTGAATTTCGAATCGTGTCGTCGTGTCGCTACCTGAATTGTCAATCTTATAAATAATAATAATAATAACAATAGTAATTACGTAGATTATAAAAGCATCTGGCATAGTCGGATTGATTATAGGATTTTGTAGTTTGTACATCTTAAAACTGGGTTTGTACTTTGTTGATGTTGGACTAGAGGATCTCTCATCGACATGACTACACAGGAAATGGACATTATGCGTTAGTTGAAAGATTATCTTGCAATATCGTGTAACCTAACGACCCAAAATGTATATATAAGAGCCAGAGGGATTCATTGACAGGCTTGTGCTTCGTCGTCCTTGAAAATGCATAGTAATATGAAGCCATGCATGGACCACAAGTGTTTTCATCGCAAACGTCTGTGGAGGTTGCTAGAGATAATTAATAGGCTATTTTGTATGAACACTTTTGAATTTTTTCAATTTGACAATTGAATCTCTAAACTTCTTTTTCCTAATAATCAACCCCCAAAATTTTTAATTTTTGACATTTTTAATCCTTGTTGCTCAAATTCGTCAAAATTGTGATTATTTTTTAGTGTCAAACTTACAAGTGACAGCTTAAAAAGTGCATTGATGATATTTTTGTTTAGTATTAATAAAATTTCATATTAAAATTTAGATTAAAGTTTAAGTTATAATTAAATTAAATTCAAGTTTTTGAATGTATTTGTATTAAAACTAAATAAAAATGAACATCAATGCCTTTATTAGGTTATCATTTACACGTTAGGTGCAAAAAGCCGTCAAAATTTTAATAAACTTGAACAACAAAAGTTGAAAGTGCTAAAAACTATAAATTTGGGATGTTAATTGTCAGAAAAAAAATGTAAAAACTAAATTGTCAAATTCAAAAAATTCAAGAGGTGTTCCTACAAAATAACCTGATTAATAATGAATCCGATTCATCATATCCTACATGGTTTGCGTATCTGTGGTGATGTTATAGCTACAAGTATAATTTTCTTTAAAACAAAAAACAAAAATATATGTACGTGGGCCGTGGCATATGTAGTAACTAATTTTATTCGAGAAAATGGACTTGGGGTTGAATCGGTTTCGGCATAATGCATGGCTATATATGATTAAAAATAAATAAAACTGGATGTTTAACAGAAGAAATCCTCGGCAAAAAACTTGTTAAGGGATTATTTATTTAAATTAGTACTTTGAAATTAATAGTTTTCCAAAAAAAAAAAAAAAAAGATAATAATAAGGGACCAAAACTCGGATCCCATAATGATAGTACTGCTTTGTCTACAATTCATGGGTCATTAGTTTGTTATTCAAATGTATTATTCCTCGAAATTTGAGACAAGATTCTTGTATGAAACCAAACATAGTAATATATTATTCTTAAAAATTTAAAACAAAATTCTTGTACGGAACCAAACACAATAATATATAATTCTTAGAAATCATATTACTTCATCATTTTCTCAAGAATATGATTCTTATTGATTATTGCGTACTAAACGCTTCCTTATGTAATCTTGATGCCTACAGATTTATCACATCATAAGCATTTTGGTTTTTATATTTGCACGTTCTAAATGGCTTTCTTTGAAGGTATAGGTCCCGTTCTTTTCGCTGATTCGAGTTTAGAATTCGAGTTTTGCTACAGTAAAAAGCTCTCAGAAACAGTCACATCTAACTTTTTTGTTACAGTAAAAAGCTCTCACACAACATTACATCTCAACTCGAATTAAAAACTCAAATTAACGAACCAAACAGGCCCTATATTGTTTTATGGATTACTAATTTGCTTGTGTTTTCTTGAGGAGATTCCAAACTTGTCATCAAAAGTTGTAAATCTAAGACCACATATAAAAGTTTCAAAGATGCCATCAAAAGATCTAAATATTAGACCACATAGTCAAGTTTGTAAATATAATACCAAAAGCTTCAACCTAACTCATTCTAAAAGAGATAGAAGAAAATCTAACTTAAATTCATCATCTAACGTGAAGAAATAATTGGTGTAGTCATGGTTTTGTACAAGAAGTTTTCCGACTCGTACTCGTTGTGCATTTGTTAGTCCTTCTACCTTCTTCACTTCATCAAACACCTGCATCCTCCTTGCAGCACTATCAGCCTCGTATTGAAAGCAATTAGCAAGCCTACCAATATTCTCACCAGCCATAGCATACATATTAGAAAACTTATGTATTGTCTCAGTTAAAGCATCAACCAATACATCTTCACTTTGAGATCTCTTTCTCTTTTTCCTTCCTGATGTTAATGGTGTTGAAGATGATTGTGTGCTAGGACCGCCAATACTTGCAGTATCCATGTGCAATCGATGGTAATTTAATTGGCGTATATGATGTCGGCGATAAGAACTCTCACTCCATCTATTTCTACGCAAACATCGCTTACTAATAATTACAAATATAATAAAAATGAACAAAAATGTCATTTCATTTAACATCTCCATATATTGAACCAAAATAGCCACAAATTCTCTTTTTTTGGTTCCAATAGAAAAAGATCCATATCTGTTAATTGATGAGAAAAAGAAATAAGCATATTGATTACAAAGTTCAATTCAGCCATGTATATAATGGATTCAACAAGAAATAAATTCAACCAAAGGCAATGACCATGATTAACAGATTCAACAAGAAATATATTCAACCAAAGGCAATGGCCATCATTAACGGATTCAACAAGAAAAATAGAGTAATAGATTCAACCAAAAAAAAAAGAAAAGGATGATATGGATTCAACAAGAAGAAAAGAGAAAAAAACCAAGAAAATGACATCACAGATCAAAAAGAATACCTACCTATACATCGTCATCAGATTATGTTAAAAATGTTATAAATTTGGAGATAAAAAAAACCAAGCTGATACGGATTCAACAAGAAGAAAAGAAGAAAAAACCAAGAAAATAACATCACGGATCGAAAAGAATACCTGCCTATACAATCCATCAATGCCACAAATGAGATTGATGCCGGTATGAAATTAAAGTCAAGATAAAAAAATAAAAAAATAAAAAAATAAACTAACACAGATTGTGAAAGAAAAAAATTTTCACAAAAAAATGAGATAAAAGGAATCATACTCTGGTGGTGGCGGCAGAAGAAAGTTCGGCAACGGCGTGGTGGATCGGAAGGCGGCAGCAGCATGGTCGACGGAAGAGTGGTGCCAGCTGCTGGACGAGAGAGAGGCGGCTGGGTCTGGGAAGAGATGGGTGAGAGAGAGATTAGAGCTAGATATTTCCGGCGACGGTGTGGTGGATCAGAAGGCGGCAACGGCGTAGTGGATTAGAAAGCGGCGGCAGTGTGGTCGACGGAAGAGATTCAACTAGGATGGACCAGAGACAGGCGGCTAGGCTAGGTGGGAAGAGATGGGTGTGAGAGAGGTTAGGGCAGATTATTTTTTTTTTCCCATAATATTACTTTCCTAACAAAGTAAATAACGCCCTATTAGATGAGTTTATGATTATTAAAAAATGTGGTACTGTAAAATCTATAAACTTCAATTTCTTGAGTTTTAGAAAAGTCTAATAATTATATTAAACATGAGAATCTGAAAAATTTTTATTTGCATTTTTGAGTTTACCCCATACTAAACGCCCTCAAGAAGATCCAATTATTATTTCTAAACACTACAACTAACAGCCATCAATACCACCATGGAATAATATTACATAAACATTTAAAACAAAAAATCATAATAATCAATCAACGATGTTATACACTTCAAAAGCAATAACAGGGAACACAATCTTTCTTGCAGAAAATTGATCAAACACAACCTGCTCTAAGTTTGACACAAATTTAATTCTAATTCGTTTACATTTTCAATAATACAGTGGCCAAGGCTCACAGAAACATGCACAAACTGAAATTCAAAAACTGAAACCTCTCTTTCATTTTGTCATTTTTTCCATCCCAAATATGAACATTTCAAAGCAAAACGTTGGACAAACAAAAATAAAATGAAAAGGAGAAGAATAAAAAAACCACTCACTTGAAGAGAGACGTTCGAGAAAGGGCGGCGGCCTCCGTGGGTGTGTTCGGCACGGCATCGTTACAAATTAAGTTATTTGTTTTAATTTTATTCCCACTGTATGCTGCAGCACACCCTATACTCATAATCATCAAGACTAAGCATAAGAAAATTTCCTCATCCTCTTTCCGAGAAAAAAAAAAATCTGTCAATGCAATTTAAGAGAACTTAAGGGGGAAAAAAAAACTACAATCAAATTGCATAGAGAAAACCCCCAAAAATGACTACAAACAAGAAATTTGAAAAATCATTCACATTTAAACAAATTTCATTTAGAAAGAAAAATGGAAAAAAAAAAAGAACAAACTACTCACTTGACTTAAAACTCGACCGGCGGAAGAGGCGTGGCGGAGGCCGGCAGGAGAGGCGTGACCGCGGCCGGTGGGCGAGGGCGTGAGCGGCGCTTCGGTTGAGGGCAGTAGAGAGATGGTAGAGAAAGAGAACGGATCGAAGTAAAGAGAACATTCTGTAAAATAAAGGAACGTCGGAGGGGTTCTTTTCACTCATAGTTAGACCTGTAAAATTGTTGAAATTTAAAGGGTATATTTATAATTTCATTTGCCACATCAGCATTTACATTTAAAAAAAGAGGAGAAATGATTAAATTAAAACGGATGTATTTACTTAAAATGAGCTTTTCAAGAGGGCATTTAACTAAAAAGTTGGGTCCTTTCCTAAATGTTAGAAATTAATCAGGTTTATTGGATTATGAAGTGACAAAAAGGCAAAGCAGAGAGGCCTAAAAGGTGTCAAACTCAAAAGAAAAGAAAAGAAAAGGATGGATACTTTTCAGAGAAGGGAATGAGTTTTCATTAATGAGATGAAATGTCGTCAAACTTTGCTCAAGTTTGAGTTCCGTGCTTTTGCTTACCATGAGGAAAATACACAACCAAAATTAACAAGGAAAAGAGATGATTTTCGAGTGAAATTCTTATGGAGGGGATTGAGAAAAAATTGGATTCTTCTTCTCAATTGGGTTTTGACTCCATGGAGATGCGAATTCGAGAGAAGAATAGAGCAGGGAAACATCTGTCCTTTTTCTTAAAAAAAAAATTTATTTTGTGTTTTTTTTTTTTTTTAATCTTTTATTCATTTTGGTATAGAAAATGACCACCAATACTCCTAAAAAGAGGTAATGTGCAAGTAACATGTCAAAATCAGTTTAGAATTTAACAGACTTAGTAGAAAGATCTTAATTACAAAAATTTTAAAATTTTAAAGGTCAATCGCTAAGAAAAAAAAGTACCACGATTAAATTGTCAAATACGAAAAGTTTAAAAGGTGTCCAACCTAATAAATATAATTGATTTTCTCTAGTGTTCTTTTTTTTTGAGAATCTTGATATTTCTTACTTTTCAGCCATTAAATATGTATCAAAATTTATCTGTTCAGCATATTTTTTTAATTTGATGTGATTTTAATTAAATTTAACAGTTAAAAGAGTAAGGAATACAAATATTCTAAGAAAAAAAGAAAAAACACAAAAGAAACTCCCTTGTCCCTACAAAGAAAAGCATCAGTTACAAAATATTCAAGAAATGCGTTTGCCTAATGCTTTCCAGGGAAATATGAAAAGTTATGTTGCATGAAGGACGTTAATCAGCCACAGAGTCAAAGGCCGCCTCGTTCATTTCATCAATTTGAGTTTTCAGTTTTAAGTTTCTACAGTGTTATGGGGAAAATATGGAGGACACGTGGAGGGAGGACAACGTGACACGTGGCCTTAACCTCTCCTCGCAAAGCAACAACCCTTGACGTTTGGGACCCCTTTTTCTCTCGTCGTTTAGAGCCTGAGTAAGAAGCCCAACTTAGGGCGTCGATTTCATCTGACGTCGACAGGTCGTACCGTCGACCTTACAACATAGAAGTCCACCGCCAAGGAGAACAATTGGGCTAAACAACACTGGCGACGAGGGGAATGCTCATTGAGGGAAAGCCTGACTTGGCAAGCTGCGTAAGGGGTGTCCACAGTACATGCATTAAATGCAAACCCTTAAACCGCCCCTACAGGGGACAGAAAAGGGTTACAGCGATGCAAAGACCCGTAATGGGAGACTAATTGGCTGAGTGAACAGTGCGCAAAAAGTGATTAGTGGGCTACGGGCTGGGCCTAGAAAGGGAGACCACTTGAGTACTCGTTCAGCCTACAGGAGAAAACCCCTCCAACGAAGGAAGCTCGGCTATAAAAGGAGAGAAACCTCATACGGAAAGGAGGTTGATCTTTTCTATTAAAAAAAAAAGAAAGAATGAAAGAGCATATTGTAAATTGTAACAATCTCAAAAAGGAATAACAAACCACAGTGGATGTAGCTCTTCATAAGAGTGAACCACTATAAATCTTGTACGTTTTCCTACTTTAAGTATTCTTTTTCATATTGCCTACTACACAAAAAATACCGCAAGCACATCAAACTCCTACACATAACCTATTTTTAAGCTAGTAATCCGACGGGAAACCCAGAGGTAAACCGGCCTGTTTTTGCTGACGAAAATTCATCGTCAACAATTAGCAACTCCACTGGGGACAGGGGTTTACCTTCGTCGCTTAAGTGGAAGTATTCACGGACGGCGTCGAGTCAGTAGGGTCTGGGAGATCGAGAATTAGTCCGGCACTTCGAAGATTGGCCTGGGTCAGGAAAGTATCAATATGGCGAACCTCGGACGAGAACGAGAAGGCCTTCTCAATCCTCGCCAAACTATTTCTGGAGAACTTCGGCCGGTCCTGACTGACTGTAGGATAAAAAGACTGTCAACATAAGAAAGGAGAAAGCGAAATAAGGTGAGAAAGAAAGGGAATCAAAAGTCTCACCCATGTTCCCAAACGACGCCTGCACCTTCCTTTGGCGGAGCAAGCAGTCGTCGAGATGAAAATTAAAGGGGCCGCGTATCATGAAAAATATGGGTTTTCACCCATGTGACGACGAGAAAATGCCCAAAATTAGCTTGCCAAATCTGGGCTGAGATCTCCCGTGCCCACTCAGAAAATACCATCCCTCGTACTTGGCAACATGGCACAATCTGTACATGAATCTAAACTCATCCAGAGGAAGATCCATGTCAAACTGCTGGTTCCACAAGATCCAGGCGCCAGCAAAGCAGTACCAGAAATTTAGCGCCAGTTGGGCGGGGGAAATGCTATAAAAGTGGCAATAATCTTTTACGAATGGATGAACCGGAAGGGTCATCCCCGTAGTAACGGCCCTGGTATAGACAGGGAGGAATCCGGTCGGGGGCATACTAGTCCTAAAGTGCATGTCTGGGAGGAGGTATTCGAACCACCTCCCATCAATGCATTCTTCCTTCACCGCCCAGATGATGTCCTTATTCCGGACTCTCGACGGCACGGTGTCAGCTCTGAAGGAAGGCCGATCCGGGTCTCCACTTGTAGCAGCCAGCGGGGCATCCACCAGAGAAGCGGCGACCCCACACACGCTGCCACCTGTAAAAGGCCTCCTATCAACGTCTTCGTCGATCATTCGGCAGACGTTGTCATAAGTATTGCTACCATCGTCGCCTGGGCCGGCCATATGTTCCTCGACTTCCCGCAACAGTGAGTCGCAGTCTGACGAGGAAGATGACCATGAAATCTCCACCACAGAAGGGGAGTCTGGTCGTACAACAGACGGTTCCTCTCGACGGGAGTTTTTTGGGGCCATTGTTCTGGTAATGAAAAAGACAAGGAGCTACGTCAAAATCCTAAGTCGAGAGGAAGGAAAAAATGGCGGTTATTCTAAGCGACGACCATTCTAGACAACGACTGCTGAAACACCTCAACATAATGTCGACCATTCATATGAAAATGGTGACGACAAATGCTCGTGACAACCAAGGTTCATCAGAACCCAGGAGCCAGACTCGCATTCAACCAGGAAGCAGGGAAAACTACTCTATGTGGGTCGAATAAAGCATAAAAAGCTACTGTCCTCTACATGGAGGGAGGACAACGTGACACGTGGCCTTAACCTCTTCTCGCAAAGCAACAACCCTCGACGTCTGGGACCCTTTTTCCTCCCGCCGTTTAGAGCCCGAGTAAGAAGTCCAACTTAGGGCGTCCATTTCATCTGACATCGACAGGTCGTACCGTCGACCTTACAACATAGAAGTCCACCGCCAAGGAGAACAATTGGGCTAAACAACACTGGGGACGAGGGAAATGCTCCTTGAGGGAAAGCCTGACGTGGCAAGCTGCGTAAGGGGTGTCCACAGTACAGGCATTAAATGCAAACCCTTAAACCGCCCCTACAGGGGACAGAAAAGGGTTACAGCTGTGCACAGACCCGTAATGGGAGATTAATTGGCTGAGTGAACAGTGCGCAAAAAGTGATTAGTGGGCTACGGGCTGGGCCTAGAAAGGGAGACCACTTGAGTGCTCGTTCAGCCTACAGGAGAAAACCCCTCCAACGAAGGAAGCTCGGCTATAAAAGGAGAGAAACCTCATACGGAAAGGAGGTTGATCTTTTCTATAAAAAAAACAGATAGAACGAAAAAGCATATTGTAAATTGTAACAATCTCAAAAAGGAATAACAAACCACAGTGGATGTAGCTCTTCATTTTATAAGAGTGAACCACTATAAATCTTGTGTGTTTTCCTACTTTAAGTATTCTTTCTCATATTGCCTACTACACAAAAAATACCGCAAGCACATCAAACTCCTACACATAACCTATTTTTAAGCCGGTAATCCGACGGGAAACCCAGAGGTAAACCGGCCTGTTTTTGTTGGTGAAAATTCACCGTCAACATACAGTAAAAAGCTCACAGAAAATATTACATCTAACTTTTTCTGTTATAGTAAAAAGCTCTAAAAAAATGTCACATCTCAGTTCGAATTGAAAACTCGAATCCGCGAAGTGAACGACACCAAACTACTGGTTCAACACTTCAAGCTCACTTAACAATATTGTCAAAGTCCTTTTCCACGTCAAGACCGCAAATGAGCTTTTTACCTGTTGGTGTGGGTATCCACTCCAGATAAAACGGATATAGAAGTTGTTACATAGAGACACTGCGTATATGTGGCTAACATTATCTCCGAAGCAGGGGCGGGCCGGGGCGGTGGCGGGGAAAGCATCCCCGCCCGAACATACATATACATATACATATATTTCTAAAAATATTTTTAATTTAAATATATATTATATATTATAATATCACTTAAAAACATGGGATTAAAAAAGTTTACAAGTATTTTACTATTTTATTATCTTACAAAATCCAAATGATTCATAATTTTATATTTAATTTGATGTAACGGTACCGTTAGTTTTTTTCTTAATGGTTAAATAGATAGATAAAGTATAAAAAAAATCTCTCGACGGGATCGTCTGAACCCGGTCCTAAGTAAGGCAGGTATAGGAGCAAGTTTTTTTTGTTTGGTGGGGGGGAAGCATACCCAACTTGATTTCGCCCAATAATCATCCTTATTCTCAATTTTTTAGACGAAATAAAGAAAAATAAATGTTAAGAATTTTCAATCGGGGGGAGAAAAATCAATGTTAAGAATTTTCAATCGTGGGGAAGCATACCCAACTTTATTTCGCCCAATAATCATCCTTATTCTCAATTTTTTAGATTGCAATACGAATTCTAGATTGAACACGAAATAAAGAAAAATCAATGTTAAGAATTTTCAATCTCAACGACTTTACTGTATTCTACATTGAGATTGAGTCAATGTTAAGAATATTTCAATATCAACGACTTTACTGAGTGTTAGAAGCTTCCTTCGAATTTTTAAATATGAATCACCATGCTTACACCTCTTCTATTTTCTAGAAATGTCCCATCATTGCTGTTGCTATTTTCTAATAAATACCATTTGCTATAATTTATATTTTTTTTTCTCCAGTAAAGTACAAAACCTACTATTATTACAACTAAAATTTAAACCGTAAAAAATTCTTGGTTGTTATTTTCCCCTCCTTTTGGGACCCTAAAAGTCATTTCGGCACAATACAATGCAAATCATTTGTTTGTTATACAAGTATTCAAAATATTTACGAGACGTTTAGTTTATAGATTTAAAATTATGATTTATAATTTTAATTTTTAAAATTTAAATTTTTTGTAAGAAAAAAATACTGTAAAAAATTAAAAATTATGATTCAAAATTATTGACGAACTCTTTAAACAAATATCCCATTAGTGTAGACCTTATTTCACTTTTACAATTTCTTTTCATTTTGTCATAATTTAGAGGAGAACAAGCATCGTGTTCAAAAAATATTCAAGTATAATCTTTAAAAAAATCAAATATAATCGTGGACTCTAAATTGGTAAATTTTAAGATGAAAAAATGGTATTCATCTCCATGGGATAAATCTCCATCACTCAAAAAAAAAAATGTAATTGGCTCTCATCTATTCATTTAGTGGATCAATTTTATGTGAGTAGCGAAATTTTAATCTCATTGTGATGAATAGAGGTGTTCTTTAAAATAATGACATCCAAAATGCAACAATCACATCCTAATAATACTAGCTAACGGTACGTTTGGTAGTGATTCTTAGAGTCTAAAATCAATTCTCTAGTCAGTTGAAATTTGTATTTGGTAAAAACCATAGAAAGTGATTCTTAAAGAAATTTTGAAGAATTAACAGTCAAAATTAGAAGTAGTCCAATGACAATTTTAGCTTTTAGAATACGCGGTAATTACCTTGAAGTGTAATTAATAAAACTTTCATGATACCCATAATATTTCTGGAATCAATACTTATATAGTTACAGTTTACTAAACACTCAGACTGTTTTTTGTAACAGTTATTTTTTTAGCACAGCTAATAGTAATTTTTTTAAAAATTTACAGCACTATCAAACTAGCTTTAAGTAGACTTTTTGAGAACTTAAAATTAAAGAGGAAGATGAAAAAAAAAAAGGGAAAAAAACTTTTAAAAAAAAAAAAAAAAGCCTCAGGACCTAGGAGCAGCCAACAATTTCAACTCCCACGTTACTAGAAGGTAAAGACTTTTATATGCGCGCTAGCCCACGCGCGTTAGGGAGATAGTTATAGACCATATAATATATACAGTTTCTAGCATGGCTAATTGAGGCAATCATACAAGTGCTGTAGAGTTTCCAACGATCAGTAACCAAATTTTGTCTTTCAAAAGATTAGCAGCAATATGGGATCGAAGGTTGAGACTGTTTGCGTGACCGGCGCGTCGGGTTACATTGGATCATGGCTCGTCATGAGGCTCCTGGAGCGCGATTACACAGTCCGAGCAACCGTGCGCGACCCTGGTACGGCCTAGTTCTTAAGTTGATAGTTCTTCGCATGATACGTGTTTGTTTTTTTGTTAATATTCTGATAATTAATTTGTCTTTATTTGTTTTTGTGATATGAATTAATAACAGCGAACGTGAAGAAGGTAAGGCATTTGCTGGAATTGCCTAAGGCAAAGAGTAACCTGACACTATGGAAGGCCGACCTGGCTGATGAGGGAAGCTTCAATGAAGCCATTAAGGGGTGCACAGGAGTGTTCCATGTGGCCACACCCATGGATTTTGATTCCAAAGACCCTGAGGTATATACATCCTTTTTAAATCACACATATATATGAACGAGTTTTTAATAATTACATTTTCATCTGTAGTCATCTTAAAATATAAAAATCTGATAATGTAATATGATAAAAATTCAATTTCATTAATTATGTTAATTATTTTGTCAACTGTTCAATTTATATATCACTACTTAATATGCTTATTGATTTTCAATTTTATAATTACTATTTTACTTATTTTTGCGCATCTATATATAATGATTTGATTACCGGTTAGATTCGGCTACCATATCTAAATAAACACATCTGTGTGTATTTTTCTTTTCTTTTGTTTTGTTTTTTTGTTTGAAAAGGGGGAATTTATCAATTTAAAATTTTCAGAGTCCACAAATAAAAAGATAAAAAAAATTCTAAATTTACTTAATGAACGAGTTTAGTTTTCACGTATGCACACTTAATATCATACAGTGCATGATCGGACATGGATTCTAAAGCGGGATTATAGAGTTTTGAATCCTACAGTACGTGTGTGAACAACTAGCAACTCTTATAGTGTTTTACTTACATAAACTCTTTATATGGAGTGCTAAGAAGAAATAAAAGGTCAAGTCTGAAAAGTCTTGTGTCGTCATCTTTTAATTTTCCACGGCCTGTTAGCAGCCATCAGCCGGTGCGGGTTCTTATTTTATATGGGACCCATAATTAATCTTACGTGGCTCTTATATTTTGGGAGAAATCACGCATTACCAAATATATGTCTTGAATTTCTAAAAAAAGAAAAATATTATATGCCTTGAAACTTGTTGGCTCTTTAATTTGGGACCTTACGACAATTAGTTATTAACTTAAAATATGATGATTGTTTGGTTGGAAGAATGAAGTAATTAAGCCAGCAATAGCCGGGATTTTAGACATCATGAAAGCATGCCTGGATGCAAAGGTTAAGAGACTAGTTTTCACCTCATCAGCTGGAGCTGTAGATGCTGGGCCACAAGGAAGGTCCTTTTACGACGAATCCTATTGGAGTGACGTTGAATTTTGTCGGACCGTAAAGATGATTGGATGGGTAATTATATATAATTTTTTTTGCACCGTTATTTATATCGTTAAAAGTCCATTTTGGGCCTATATTTATTTGTATACACGCTAAGAAAGTATGTATGCCAAATTTGGTCTAAAAATTTGCCTTATTTTAAGATTTGTTTTGCATGGTTTTTAATGCTAAAATTATTAAAACTACATCAAAATACAAAAGTATGTAAAATTAACAAAATTTGATAAAGATCAGTATCATCATAGTAAGTTTTTTTTTTTTAATCATCTGTAGATGTATTTTGTCTCCAAGACTCTTGCCGAGCAAGCAGCGTGGAAATTCGCAAAAGAACACAACATGGACTTCATTACTATCATTCCAACGCTTGTGATTGGCCCATTTCTTGGTCCCACTGCGCCTTCAAGTATCATCACCGGAATTGCGCCTATCATCGGTACATGTTTATTTATTTATCCTATAATACTGCCCAATTTAAATTACCATTTTACGTGAGCTACTCCTGAATTTTTCATTGAATTAAACATTTTTATAACCAGGAAATGAAGCTCACTACTTTATCCTAAAGCAAGGAAAATACATTCACTTGGACGACCTCTGCGAAGCTCATATATTCTTGTACGAGCATCCTAAAGCCGAGGGTCGTTACATCACAAGTTCACATAGTGCTACAATCTATGAGCTTGTTAAATTGCTCAAGGAAAAATACCCTCAGTATAACATTCCCACAAAGTAAGCCCCTTTCACCATATTGACAAGGGCTTCATTTAGTTTTGTATGTGAAATTTTATAAAAATTATATTTTGCCTTTTTTTAATTTTCATATATATGTATATATATTTTGCCCCACAATATTGATTATTCCATTTAGAGAAATGTACAACGTGATGAAACTATAAGTTATAGTAAAGCCAATATAGAGGAGAGAGAAAACTATAAAAGTAAAAATAAAGTTTTTATGCTAAGCTAATTAAGTAGTAATATTGTGATCAGATTCAAAGGATTTGAAGAAAACATAGAAAATGTGGAGTTCTCTTCAAGGAAGTTGAAGGAATTGGGCTTTCAGTACAAATACAGCTTGGAGGATATGTTCGTTGGAGCAATTGAGACATGTCGTGAAAAGGGATTGCTTCCACTTGCTCATGAAAACAACCCCAATGGGTCGGACTAAATAAGAAACAAGGGATCTAATCTACACTTGTATTTTACTTTTAATAGATGCTTAATTATATCTGTAATAGTTTCTTCCAACTCCATTTACTTCTGATTTTGTTGGAGTTTATCGGTTTCAATCCTGATTATTAAAAATAAAATAAAATAAAAGGATGAGATTAGGTTTCTTAGGCTTGGCTTATGCATACATGGAGTGTTTCCTTGCATTTTTATGTAATTCGAATGGACTAAGAGAAGTACGAGCCAACAGATTAACACAAGAGAAGAGCAAAAAACATGCACCTAGATTTTTCACTGCCACTGCTTATTTAGTACAATGAAGTATGTTATGAGTTTGATTGCTAGTATACTTTTATGTTCAGCTTTGTCATTTTCGAATGTGTTGGCATTTTTAGACCATTCGTAATCATTCATAACTCTTGTTTTGAAGGATACAATTATGCGAGTTAATTATGCATATACTTTAGAAATTAATCCGGTAGATTACTAGTAGTAATCTACCAGATTACTCTAGCAACAGATCTTAAAAGACAACGAACATATTCTGGTAAATTACGGGTGATCATCTAATAATTTACGTCAGTAACTGGCTTCCGAGACCTCTAGTGATCTGCGTTGATATAATTTAGTAGATTACAGATAGCAATCTAGTAGAATAAGCTTTTTTGTACGGACATCTCCTCAATTTTAGAATTTGGCAAATTGATCCATCAATTTTTAATCTTGACAATTCACTCTCTCAACTTTTAATCTTGACAATTCACTCTCTCAATTTTAAAATTTGTTATAATATTAGTCAAATTGAGAACGAAATTAAAAATTTAAATGATTTTTTTCACGTGAACATTTAGAGTCGTGTACAATTATTTCCATCCTAACTTTCTCTCTCAAACTGGCAAATCACTTTGAAGAAAAAAAAAAAGAAAAACAGAGAACTTGCAAGTCACAATCATTCAAGGTTGAATTTAAGAATACTATTTTAGAGAGTTGATATTTATATATGTCACTCATGTGAAAAATATTCGAACATAATTTACTTATAAATCGATAAGGTTGAGCAGCTATACTTAATAAGTGGTATTGTCTTTAAGTTATCATCATTCAAACATGTGACGTTTATGGGTTGTCTAATTATTTCGACATTTAATGGATAACTATTATTTTAAGGTGGTGGAACATGCTTGTTAAAAAATCGAAGAGTATTAAAAGAAGAGAAAAAAAAAACCGTAACTAGTCAAATATTTGTTGAAAAAAACCGTATTTTTCCTTTTTTTCTTGCACTAAATGAAATATTTCTCCATTTGGCGTTAAGCATTTTTTTAGTACATATTTCACGTATTTAAACCCGTTATTCTAATTCTATTATAGTACTTTTTTTACAAAAAGAATTAAATAAAAAATTACTGCTAATAATTCTCTAATAAAATTTAAATGTAAAATTAAAATTATTGATCTAGACGGTGAACTAAACAAACTATTAATATTTTTAAAAAGACTTCTTTCTTAGAAATAATTAAGGGATGAGAACTAATAATGATGTGATGCTTCTTTATCACGGTATAACGAATATTATTAAATGCAAAAGTAAAACATTAGTTAGGAAAAAGTCAAGAAAAAGAGTAGTCTAGTGAATTTCAGTTAAATATTTTAAGTTCTGGTGAATTAAGGTTGATCAGCCAAATAGTCAAACTACTAGTTCAAGCTCACCTAACAATATCGTCGATGTCACGATGTATATTGTCAGAGTCCATTTCCGTGTGAAGATGGCTTTGTTATACTTCTCATCAGATTTCTGGATTGTAATAATCAAACTACCAAAAAATCTGACTTCTTTTTCTTTTTATAAATTCTAGATTCTAGATCTTTTTTATCATTTCCATATTCTAGATTGAGATTGATTTTCCACAAATAAAGAAAAATTAGCGTTGTTATAATTAAAAAAAAAAGTGTTATTACAAATATTTCCATCACAATGACTTGATAAATGTTAGGAGCTTCCTTTAAATTTTCAAAGGAAAAATGAAGTAAATGTCTTTTTAGATTGTATAGTCTTGATTTGTATTCATTACTCTTAATTAATGCTCTTTTCATTTAATATTATATTCATAAAAAAAAGTATTGATAAAAAATAAAAAATAAAAGTTTAGACTCAAGCACTTTTAAAAATAAAATTTAAATCACCAAGTTCACAATCACAACCACTTGCAATGCGGGCTCAAGTATACTTGGGGCCTTAAACAAAAATGTTAGATGGAGCCTTTTTAAAATTAATAAATATATATTTAAAATACATTAAAGTTCAACTAAATTCTTTTGGAATTTTTTTTCTTGCTTTTGAAATGCAAATGCATTGATTGAATATTTATATTTGAGTTCATCTAATAATTTTTAATCAACAGACAATATGACTAGTCTATTTAATCCAACCATCACATGATTAACTTTTTATCAATATTATTTTCTTATGTTTTTTCTACTATAATGTCGCCATTTACTGATTCATTTAAATTAGTTTACTAGGTTTGACGCACGTTCTTTGATCGTGCTTGCGGTATACAAGTAATCTACACTTTTTTTCAAGTATATTTAGATTAAAAAAATTATTGCTAATTTTTATAATTAGTAATACTTCCAACAATTAATAGTTTGTATGTTTTTGGCTACCATAATCTTATTCATATTTTTAGTAAAATAAATACAAGTTTAGAACTAATATGGAATGATTATCTCAAATTTTTGCTTCAACCAAAAATGTTTTAATGAGAATATTTAGACATAAAATGAGAAACAAAGCTAGACGTTAAAGTGACAAAATCCAAATATAAAAAATGAATTTTTAAGAAATAATTTATTAGGGAAAATAGTTAAAAAAAAATATTGATTGGGATTATATTTGAGAAAATGATGGAAAAAGTATTTAAAATGGACAATTGGAAAGAAAAAGTTAATAAGAAAAAGTGTAAACAATGTTACTAAAAAAAACAAAAAAAACAGACGAACTAAGCACACAAGCAAGTACAAAAAGTTGAACTCAGACCAAAAAAGAAAAGTACAAAAACTTGAATGGCATCCACTCTTCTTATATAGAAGATTCTTGCGTTATTCAAATATTTATTACTTGTGAAAAAATCTTCAAGAGCTCTTTTTTTAAGAATGAATCAAACTATTTTTTATAATTTTTCTCCAGTTTTTATTAGACATTGTTCCCAATAATTTAGAACCAAATAATTACTCAATAAAACACAAAAAATAACAAGATATAAATAGCTATTATGAAACTAAAACAATAACAATTGATAAATTGGCGAGAAAGAAGTAAGAAATAAATACAAATTTGAGAACTTGAAAAACTCTTAAAATAATGTTGGTCAGTGGAAAAATAAGAAGAGAAAGAGGCAATAGATTATAGAGGTTAGAGCCTTTTTTTTAAATATTTTTGCAGTGTGTAAAATAGATAATGTTCATTGTCAGTATCTCTTTTTTTTTTTCATGGTTTATTGTTCTTTTCATTTTGCAATTTTTTAAAAAGATTCAAATCTTTTTCTTTTATATTCAAAAAAAATCTTATTCTTTTGCTGTAAATTAATGGAGAACAAGCAACCGTGTCCAAATAATTCAAGTATAATCTTTAATTAAAGAAATAATTCAAGTATAATCGCAGACTCAAAGCCGGCGAATTTCCAGATAGTGACCTGGCCAAAGTTGCAACAGTCACGTTTCGATAGTAGTAGCTAACGTAGCAAACTTTTTCACAACTCAAAATTAAAGAGGAAGATGAAGAGAAAAAATTAAAAAACTAAAAAAAAAGGACATCCCAGACTCAGGAGAAGCCAACTATCAACGCCAAATCTCCAGCCACGTGCTTTGACTGTCAGGGACGCACGTTAATAGAAGGTAAAGTTTTGATTTGCTTGTGCGAGCCCACGCGCGTTAGGTCTATGGTTATGGACCACATAATGTAAAAATATATAAAGCCATGCATGCGCAACTTAGCTAATTGTGGCAAACATATCAGAGTGTTGTAGAGTTTCCAACCGTGAGTAACCAAATTCTGTCTTTCAAAAAATTAGCAGCAACATGGGATCGGTGAGTGAGACTGTTTGCGTGACCGGCGCGTCGGGTTACATCGGATCATGGCTCGTCATGCGGCTCCTAGAGCGCGGTTACACGGTCCGAGCCACCGTGCGCGACCCTGGTACGGCATGGTTCTTATGATCATGACTTACATACGGAACTTCAAAATTGATGGTTCTTCATGATACATTTCATTTGTTTGTTTGTTTGTAAATGTTCTGATTTTATATTTATTTGTTTTGTGACGTAAATTAATAACAGCGAACTTGAAGAAGGTAAAGCATTTGTTAGAGTTGCCTAAGGCGAAGAGTAACCTGACACTGTGGAAGGCCGACCTCGCTGAAGAGGGAAGCTTCAATGAAGCCATTAAGGGGTGCAACGGAGTATTCCATGTGGCCACCCCCATGGATTTTGAGTCCAAAGACCCTGAGGTATATCATATATACATCCTTTTTCAATTATACGTATAATTATATATACACACACACATATATATCACTTCTAGATACTTAATTGCTTGCTTAATTAATCAGGTTTAATTTTCCAACTACTTTTAACTGTTTGTTGCATGTATATGGTGGTTTTCTTGCCATCCGGTTAGATGGGCAGCCGTAGCAATGTGTATAAATATATATATATATATATATTTATATTTATATATGTGTGTGTATTTTTTTAAAAAAAAGATTTTGTTATTTTGGAATTCCGGAACCCACGCCAAACAAACAGGAAAAAACCTAATTTAATTTTACTTAATGGATGAGTTCAGTTTTTGCTCATGCTATTACGCTTAGTTCTTGTTCGTTTTGCTCTTTTAAATTGAGAACTTAAATTAAAAAATGAATTCATGTAAGAGAAAATACTGTAACAAAAAAAATTAAATCGGACTGATTAAATACGGGTTCAGAAATCAAACCCAAGTGCCCTTCAATAACTCTTATCTAGAGACTTAAAATAAATTCTCATTTGGAGTGATCAGAAAGGTTAAGTACTCAAAAGTCACTGTCGTCATATATTCCATGGCCTGTTGTTTTGCCATCGGGCATGTGTACTGCCGGGCTCGATGATGTAGGATTCTCATATATGGGATCCATGAATGTTTCATGCGCTCTTACACCCATAACAAAATATATGCTGAAACTTGTTGGCTCTTTTATTTGGGACCTTACGATAAGGTCGGCTAGGAAAAAAAAGGGACCTGTTTTTTTTTTTTTTTCTAGTGAAATAAAAAAAGGAACTTAAATAGGAAGTCTCTGTGTTTTTGCCTGAGGAAATCGAAGAATACGTTGAGAACAGCCGAGGAAAATTAGAGTGCGTTTAGGTAGAGTGGAGAATAATGATAATGGTAATAGAATGGAAAAAAAAAATTAATTTATTTGTTTGACTGTAATTTTAAAAATACTATGAAATGAAATATGAATATTTTTATATTAACAAAATTACTCTTATATTATATATAACATTAATATTTTATATATCAATATAATTAATATAATATGTAAAATGTAATATAATATAATAAAATTATTATTATATAATTATGATATATAATATAACAATATTATTAAAATTGTTAATATAATTATAATATTATAATATATAAAATGTAATATAATATAATAAAATTATTATTATATAATTATGATATATAATATAACAATATTATTAAAATTGTTAATATAATTATAATATTATAATATATAAAATGTAATATAATATAATAAAATTATTATTATATAATTATGATATATAATATAACAATATTATTAAAATTGTTAATATAATTATAATATTATAATATATAAAATGTAATATAATATAATAAAATTATTATTATATAATTATGATATATAATATAACAATATTATTAAAATTGTTAATATAATTATAATATTATAATATATAAAATGTAATATAATATAATAAAATTATTATTATATAATTATGATATATAATATAACAATATTATTAAAATTGTTAATATAATTATAATATTATAATATATAAAATGTAATATAATATAATAAAATTATTATTATATAATTATGATATATAATATAACAATATTATTAAAATTGTTAATATAATTATAATATTATAATATATAAAATGTAATATAATATAATAAAATTATTATTATATAATTATGATATATAATATAACAATATTATTAAAATTGTTAATATAATTATATAACTACTATATAATATATTTTAATTATATTATAATATAATATTGAAGGGTAATTATGGAAAAAATAAATAAAATAACTGGGAATGACTATTCCTCTCATGTGAGAAATGAATGATAATTTACCCAAAATGAGTGAATGATCATTCCTTTTGAATGACTATTCTTTTCTTATAAATCCAATCAAACATCAAATTTGAATTCCATCCCATTTTATTCATTTCCTTTTCACCAAACCAAACACGCCTTTAGAGTAATGAAAGCACACTGCATGAAAAATGCTATCGAAATATTATCGCCAGATAGACTGGTAGTAATTTATCAAAACTGTGATATGATAGCATGAGATCTAATATACTTATAATTTCGTCAAATATTTCTACTTTATCAGCGCATATATAATATTCACAGTGATGTATCACCTATATATAATATATAGATGGCATATAATTGGTTTAATTGAAGGATTGAATGAAAATTTTGAATAAGAATTTAAATTTTTATAAGAGAAAAAAAATATAAATTATCTTCTAAATTCATGAGCTAAACGGTAGTTATATCTAATGCATATGAAGAATTGTGGTATCAATTTTTTAAATAAATTGATTTGTCAAACGAGTTATTATATATATGTATATATATATATAT